AAAAAAAAAAAAAAAAAATATGGACTCCAGACCCAGGAAAAAAAAACATCAAGAAGAAATACGGATCCAGACTTAATAGTAATCATTTGTTTTTCTTTCTAGTGTATCTAGGCCCGGGATAGTAATAATTTTTGTAGATACTTACTCACAAGTGTGAACACAGTCAATCCTGACTATCCTTTATTCTAGGTTTTGGTGCAATTTTATGAGTCAATTAAGGACAAAACGTGCATAATAATTATTATGTATAAAACAAAAATTTTCAGCCCAGGTCTGCAAAAGAGCTTTGGAGGGTGCATTTTTCTGGGTAGGTGCACAAGAAGTGAAGCGAGTTTGTAACCTACATCAAGGTTTGGCAAACAGTGGCCCACGGGCCAAATCCAACCCACTGCCTGCTTTTGTTAAGAAAGCTTGACTGGAACACAGTCGTGCCTACTCACGTGCAGTCTGTGGGTGCTTTTGTGCTGTAACGGCAGAATTGAGCGGCTGGGACAGAGACTAAAATACTTACTATCTGGCCTTTTACAAAAGGAATTTACCAAACCTGTGAGCTATGTCATTACAAATCCACTCACTTAATCCTCAAGAGTAAGGAATTAAATCAAAAAATAAACTAAGAATCTAATCTGAGAATCTAAAAGCTCATATGATTATCTTAGAATTCAATGATACCGTTCTCCTGTTTCTACCTGAGGTATGTCCTTAACTACCTGAATTCTTCCTCTTCCTGCCGTTAAATCGGGCCCTAGGTTGCTGACCAGAGGAAGGCTGGAAGGGGAGGTTGAGGATATGGTCATAGAAAGCACCCAGCGCCTGAGCTACAGTGTGATGATGTGGGCCCCACAGGCCCCACGAGATCTTACAGTGTCTTCTCTTCATCATCCCAGAAAGGTGACACGATCGTCATTATAATTTCATTTTACCACATTCTCATTCTCTGAGAGCTGAGAGTCAAGTAAAATAGACATGGTGACTTGGTTAACCAGCAGACTGGCTTAGCAAGAGCCCCACGTTCCTCGGGAGGTTCCACTTAACCTTTGGGGCATGGTGCCCTCGGACCTCCCGTTCTCTCTTTAATATGGAAAACTTAGAATTGCCAAGTATTTTAGACTTGGATGTTTCTAAGTGCTTTGCTCTCCCCTGGCAGTAATCGCTCTGATCTTCCTCTCTCCATTTAACATTCCTTGTTGCCCACTAAGTGCCAGGGACAGTGCCCAGTGCTGGGGAACCAAGCTGACCAACACATAGTCTCTGTGCTTAGGGCACTCATAAGCGATTGATT